TCTTCAACCAACCATTTATTATACTTGTTGAGTATCCCTTACCAGAAATACTTTGGACCAGAAAGAAGTACTTCAGATTTCAAATTTTTTTGGATTTTGGAATATTTGCAGAATACATACCAGTTGAGTATCCCTAATCTAAAAATCTGAAATCCTCCAATGAGCATTTCCTTTGAGCATCATGTCTGCACTCAAAATGTTTCGAGCCTGGGGAGCATTTCAGATTACGGATGCTCAACTTTTATTAAAGTTCCTAATATTCCACAGGACTATTTGCTAATTTGTTTCATCATTTTGACACGAATTCACTCAGTCCTTACCTCTGATAATATTAATGCAATATATGGTACCATACCTCTAGTACAGTATTTTTAAACAATCCTTAAATTAGTATTGCTATGGCATTACAAATTCCTCCCCCATATCCTTAAGATCACACTTTGGTAATAACCTCCCAATCTCAGACATTTTGAAAACGTATAGTCTATAGAAAGAGATTCAAAACATGAAATAGATTATATAAAGAGTAAGATGTAAACTTATGCCATGGGATTAATGTATCTATTAAACTGGCTTTTCCTATGACCTTACACAAAACAATATATAAATTTAGTTAATTAGAATTTTCTGAAAAACTACTTAATCTTGCCCATCTACATAAAGCAATACCTTTAAACTTTAAAAAAGATATAAAATATAATTTAACCCTCTTACACTCCTGGTTACTTAAGGAACCCCAATCTTTCTTTACTTTTAACTGATTGACATTTTAAACTGGTGCCTGCCAGCAAAAAAGTGTGTATGTTGTTTTTTTTTAATCTCGTAGTGGATTATGTCCCCCCAAAACTCACTGAAGCTTGAATTGTGTCCCCTGAGTTTTACGTATTAGGAACTTAGCCCCCACTGTGACTGTTATGAGGGTGGGAAATCCTATTATGGTAATTGAAAGGTGGAGCCTTGAAGAGATGATTGGATTGCAGAACCGTGCAGTAGTGAATGGATTAAAAATGGTGGTCAGGGAAGTGGTTCTGAGGGCTTTAAAAGAAGAGAAGATTCTCTCTGCTGCTCTCTCTGCTTCCACCATCTTGCAATATGAGACCCTTGGGTCACTGTCGCCACCACCAGATAGACTTTGGACTTCCTAGCCTCAGAACCTGTAAGCAATAAATTTCATTTTTCTTTATGGATTACCCAGTTTCAGGTATTTTGTTATAAGCACCAAAAAACGGACTAATACAAATCCATTACCAAAAATCTGGATCTGCGGCTTCCCCTTAAAAAAAAAATAGAGACTGGCCGGTTAGCTCAGTTGGTTAGAGTGCAGTGTTACAACACCAAGGTCAAGGGTTTGGTTCCTGGCACTGGCCAGCCACCAAACAAACAAACAAACAAATAAATGAATGAATGAAGATCTGGCAACAGTGGGCCCACAGACCTTGGCAATGGCAACATTCTGAGAGGGTTGGGTAGCAGCTGCCCTCATCTGATAGCATGTGCATCTTCTAGATCCCCCCATTCTCTTTGCTTACTTTGGTCACCTGTCTGGCCTTTATAATAAAGCCATCAGAGCTTAAATCTTATACTGTGAACCTTATTTTTTGTCTCTTGACAAAAAAATCCCCTTATTTTTTGTCTCTCTTGAGGGACCTTAAAAGAAGTTAGCCACAAAAATCTTTATCACTGAAATAGAATAGCCCATACCTGCCAGTCAACAACAAAAAAATTAAGAAATAGAATAGATCAAGTGATAATCCTGGCATTGCTTTGTCTTAAAGCTATGTGTACCAAATGTTAACTATAACTAGCAGGATACCATTAAATGTACAAGACACTATTATTGTTAAGAAAGAAGCTTTTAGTATCCTAACTTCAGTCTGCCTTTAGTACCTCAAAGAATCAAGATATTTATCCTTCTACCCTTCCCAAGAATAGAAAAATTAACTGTATATTTCAATAATATGGCACTCTAAGAGCACCAAAGAGCCTCCTGCATCTATGTAACTTAAGAAGAAAAACAGGAAACAGTCAAAAAGGTCTCTAATCAGCCAAAGAGACCACACAGTTCACAGAACACATGAAGCCCTCTCACACAGAGCCTACTGGATCTTATTTTAGACACAATTTTAATAAGCCTCATGATCTGGTTTCTTAGCCCACAACAGATGAGATGCAGCCAACTGGAAAAGGGCTGGGGGTGGTGCTGCTAGAGGCAGACATTGAAAGCATCAAAATCAAAGCTAAAGACGTATAAAGTCAGCAGTAAACCTCAAAACACATCAGGTTGGGGCCATTTAGTATAGATACAAACAATCCCAGGGGACCCCAATCCCTGCCCAAAACTATGGATGTTCACAATGACCCTCTTTGGTACAGTCTGCTTAAAGCACAGGTCAGGAAACCTAAAGATGTATAAGCATTCTCAAAAAAAAGACATGGCATTTAAAAGACTGCCAAATTCAGCCAAATGCACAGACATGAATAGTGTACCTCTGTCAAAGAAAGAAGATACTGAATTACCAGAGATGCCACATGTCAAACGTGGTTTTGACTAGAAAAATTTTGTTAGAATCCAAATGCAGCAGTTCATGACATCTAAAGTTGAGAGGGTATTTAGTAGAATTATTTTTTTCAGAGAATGATAATTGGTAAGGTTCAAGACCAAGATCAATTATATAAGCCAAGCAAGTCTTCTTGGGATTCCATTGTAGATACCTTACTAAGACTAAGGATAAGATAGGACTGGTCTTATCCATACCTAGTAAGTCTTCCATTTAACCTAAAATTGGTGTCATACAAAAAGTTTGAAAAAATTGTTCTCCATTTTATTTTCACAATCATTTTGATTGGTATACCAAAAATAAATATCACTTTTCTAATCACTAGCAGTCTCAGAGAAATCAAGCCATACTTTGAGGAGGGATCTAGGTTATAAACCAAGGGAAAAAAGGTTAATATTGAGTTTTTGAAGTTCAAATTATCATTTCTAAACTTGACTTTTTTTTTTGGCGGCTGGCCAGTACAGGGATCTGAACTCTTGACCTTGGTGTCACAACACCATGCTCTAACCAACTGAGCTAATCGGACAGCCCATGATTTTCTTATTGAAAATTTCATAAGGGTATATTTTAGAGAATAACTATTCTAGAAAATATGTAGTAACTCATAAGAAACCATATTACCGGGGTCAAGTATTACTAGAAGATTAGAACGTACGTTTTGAGTCAAAGTGCTATTTCCCTCTCTGAAGAAGTCGCTATAGCACACATATCAATCGGCGTAAAGATTACAGGCTACATTTCTTGATCTGTATATTATCACACATTATACTCACTTGCTCTTCTTCAGGTTTTAAAATAAAAGGACAATCTTCTACAGATATAAACCAAGTGACATATCCAGTTGATAACTTCCCAGTGAGATTCCATAAGGAACTAGTGACTCCTAAAAGCATTATATATACATATATAATACTTGGAGGACTATTCCTCAGTGTGCTCCTGCCCTTTAAATGGTTCTTTAAGAGATCTTTGGTTAAGGCTCAAGCTTCTTTTAACAAATACCCTGCTTCATTTTAGTACAAGATTGTGTCTAAACTCAGCCCTTTTTTATTTCTTAGAAATCAGAGAAGTCAAAAGAAGATGGTAAGGAGCTAAAGTAATTTATAGTAACCAATGGGATTAATTCCACATTTAAAGCTCTTTGATCAAGAATGAAATGAGGACCAACTGCTGAGGTGTTTAAACTGTCAAACAATCTGCATTTTGACTTAGTTTAGGGCAAGGTGAAAACTCGTTCTCTTTCACTAGAATCCCCATCCCATCTTTCAGGATGGATAATCCCGGGACCTACCTCTCACTAAGTAGCTAAAGGTTTAATACAGCCAATTTGAGTAGCCAAGTGAAACACCAAACAAAAATCACCAGTGGTGTCTCCCCCATTTCTAAGAAAAAAAAGAAGAGAGTAAGTGGCACAAGAAGTTACAATATTGGGGCGGGGAGGGGGGAGCAAAATTTTAAGCCAAGCCCATACTCTAGACGTAGTATTAGGAAAACTTACTTATAGATAACTATAACTGAATAACCCTTTATTTTAAAGAGCAAAGAATTCACTTCTAGTAGAAAATCTAGTAAAACCCCTTCTAAGTTAAAAGGGTATCCCTGAACATATCACCTAATTCAGCGTTAAAGTCCGTTTTGTGAAGAGGCTGTGAAAGGAACCTTTGTTTTCTTTCTCCAGTGGTTTTCAAGGTTCCTGTTTCTAACTCTATCCTTGCCAGTTTAACAGCTTTTCAATTAGATCCAATCCTGCAAAACTTAAGTGTTAGATTCTGACTACATATGGCAACCTCAAGGAATAAAACGCTTCTCCCTTTACTTCCCTCCTCCCTCGTTAAGAGTCACATTTTTTCCCCTTTAACTTCCTACTATAACAGTTTCTGGACGAGTAGAGTGGACCAAAGTGTGCAGCCGTCCAAGAGGTAAGTGAACTCAAGAAATAAATACTTGTGGATCAGGCAAAACGGCTTCCTCCGTCTGCCCGACACTGGGCCTCCAGCCCAGCCGGTTCTGTGCAGGGAGCTAAGGTGATAGGGGAAAGAGAGCGGAGAAGGGGTGAGGAGCCCTTTCGACCTCTGTCAATGGAGCCACTCAACGCCCCAGCCCCCTCCCCCCACCTTGGCCGGACAATGGCCCTCAAGCGCAGCAGACCCAGCCTGGAGAGAAGCCCTGGGACTCCATACCACGAGGGCTTAGAAAGAGGGCCGGGAAGGAACGCTGAAACGGCGAGAACACCTCCGGCCTAAGCGCGGGCTGAGCGCCGGGGCCTCCACGGGCGCCATCACTGGGAGTGGGGTATCAAGGCCGCCCCGCAGGGCCAGCGCCGGCAGAGGGATCCAAAGAGGCTTCGGGCCCGGCGGAGGCGACGGTGGGAAGTGCAGGCCGCAGCCTGCTCAGCTGGCCCGCTCAGCGGGACATCCCCACAGCCGACCTCCGGCCGCTTACCTTGTGGATTCTCTTCAGAGCCATGGTGGGAGACGGGTGGCGGCGGCCCCCGGGGCGGGGACGGGGGCGGGGGGGGGGGGGGAAGGGGCGAAGGGGACAGAGGCCGCCTCGGGGATCGCGGGTC